TTAGGGTAGAAGTTGCACGTGCTGAGAAATCGAAATATCCGTCCCCATAGGTTATCACTGTCTTACATATAATGTCTCAGTCCTTCGGTCTATGGAAGAAGAAAAAGGGAGGGTGAGGGAAAGGGGTAGGGAGAAGAAGAAAGGAGGGAAGGGGGGGGGGGGAGACCAATTTTAGGACAAACTAGCACTACTATATGGCAAATATCTTATTATGTGCTTTCAAATAATCGAGGCTTTATATTTTAAGAGGATGACGAACAAAACACTGAAGTTAATTATTTGAAGACAAGCAAATGGCAGTTAGGTATATTGACAGATGACGTTAATGGATAGCTAAACGCAACTGCGATATCTAATATATCAATTATTTGACACTTGTGGCATGCATCCTTTAGAATGATTGCAGATCAAACTACTGTTTAATTTCGCCGAGGACAGATTGCGTCGTCATTTTGCGGGCGTGTAGTGTTCCAGTAGCTTTTAGTATATCTATCGAATGTGCTGTTTTCCCATCATGGGCTTACTTTCGGCTTTCCTCCATGTTGTTCATGCTGGCAGGGAGCCTCTATCACAAGACCTCCGGACGTTTAGGGCACTTTTTTCCTGTTGAAGTTTCAGTAACGTTGTAGTTTTTTTTTTTTTTTAACAGAGCAGAGCTGTCAACACTGCTCCCAACCCCTGAGCTTGCAAGACCGGGAAAAACAGCTCTCACATGGATACCAGAGGAAAAGAGAAAAAAAAGTGGCGCAAAAAAAAACAACAACAACAACAACAACATGGAGAGAAACGAAGGAAAGTGACCTGAGTGTGTCATCTTTGACATGGAAAACTGCTTTGAAGATTGTACAGAACAGGAAACACATGGAAAATCCTCTCTGAAGCATCATGTGCCACTAGGCGTAAAAAGAATTAATGATGATGAAGACCGTATGTGTTATCGTTTTCAAAAAGAGATGCAAAGATGCTGAACTGCAGGTCTTGGTATACTAGTTATATTTATTGTTTAGTGGTGGGAAAAAAAAAAGGGGGGGGGGGAGACCAGTTTGGCTTCGCTCAACCCTGCTGAGAACATTCATTTATTGACCTGTTGTGTCATTATATGTTACACAGCGCTCGTAGTTTTTTTCTCACATTCCTTTTCTCCAAGTATTTGTATCAAATGATTTTTTTTTACAGGGTGGGGGAGCTGGCCCTAAGCCCAACCCTCCTCCTTTCTCGTCCATTCTTGTGACCGACATAGCGGATATCCTGCTGATAACAACTACAGTTATAGTTGTGGTCTAGCATCAAGTGTAATGGCTATCCATTCATCGTTCGTTCCGTCGTTCGATTTGACTTAGCCACGTTCACACTCTCACTAGGGAGCTAGCCTCGTCCTAGTCAATATCGGTTGTAATTATGGAAACAAACTGTGTTGCTATTTCATTGCTAGTATTTCATGTTTTCCGTGTCTACCTGCCCGGCCGTCGGCTCTGTGGTTAAGTCGATGCGAACGCTTCGTAATGCCGGGGTGCCGGGTTCGATCCCAGCACATGGTTTCGACAGTGGTATTAAGAAGCCGACCGTCCAGAAGGCAATAGCAAACTACTGAACGTAAATTTGCCTAGAGAAACCACACACCAGCCAGAGGCTGCTGGGGTTGGTTCTGCAACGTCCTGTAAAGGATACACAACTAACCTTAATCTGACCAGCCAGGTCGTATTCGTCTCACTGTGCAGGTGTGAATCTGATTAGATGATGTTTCTTATTGTGCAATCTGTTAGTGGTGTTACTGCCATTGAATGATCTGTCTCCTGAGCTAATCCTGGTGATATTGCTCTACCAATTCTTTGTGTTGTTTTAGTGGCTTTCATCGCTGTTGGTCCGTGAAGACCCATCTATACCTATACCCGACCATCCCCGAAGCAGGTTCCCGGCTGGGGGAATGGGCAGCGTAGATAGAGTCGACGCTTTCTTCCAAGTTGGAGTGTATCTGCTTAACAGGCAAGGAACCAGTACGCAAAAGAACAAGCGAGATCTAGCAACAACAATCGAGAAAAACAATTGTAGCAACAACAGATAAAAGAAAAATACAAACAGTAGCGAACAAATAACAACAACAAAAACACTAAAATACCAACAGTTAAAAAAAGGGACTCGATGGAAAAATATATAATAACATAATACATATATGCAGCAATAATTTACACTTTATTATGTGACCAATAATTTGCACTCTATTCTTTGACATAACTTTCTACCCCCCTCCACACACAAAGACACACTGGCTCTCTGTCTGTCTGTCTCTTTCTCTCTCTCTCTCTCTCTCTCTCTCTCTCTCTCTCTCTCTCTCTCTCTCTCTCTCTCTCTCTCTCTCTCTCTCTCTCTCTCTCTCTCTCTCTCTCTCTCTCTCCCTGTCTCTCAGACACACAAATACACAAACGACCCAACGTAATGCGCTGAATTTTTAGTGAACACGCCCCACGTCGAGGTCCAGTGTGTGTATGGGATACAGCGTATGATGATAGTTAATGTCCAAGTCTGTACTTAGTGACCGAGACATGACCTGTAGCTCAGCGACACGAATCCAGACTAGCAAAAACCAGAAAGCCGTTACGGAACGTGTTGACTGCTAACGAAACCACGAGGTTCATCAACGGCTTACAAAACCGACCGGTTTTGACTTGAATCTGAAGTTCTGTACCTGACATTGAGACAGTCGACCAGTTAATCTAAGAAAACTTTATATAAGTTAATCGAAGCTGAAAGTTGACGCCTAGCTGATTTAATTTTTCAACCTGAACAGGCTACAAATTAAAAGTAAATCCAAGCCTCAGAAAGTATATATATATATATATATATATATATATATATATATATATATATATATATATATACACACACATATATATGTATGGCTGTAAAACCTCGACCTTAACAGCTGAATTTGAAAGAAAGATACAAGCATTAAATATCCGATGTTTCAGAAACATTCGTGGCATTTTCTACAAAGACCCCAATACAAACGAAGAGGTTCGCCATAAAGTTGTTATACAGCACATTGACAACTATGAACCTCTTTTAACTGCAGTGAAAAGGCGACAAATGCAATGGTATGGACATGTAATAAGATCCAACGACCTCTCAAAAACAATACTGCAGAGCTCAGGGGAGGAAAAGAGGAGAAGAAAGACCTGGTTACAGAACCTGACTGACTGGACAGGCCTTAGGCATGCAACCATGAAGTTCATCGCAACTGACCACCAAAGGTGGAGAGAGCTGATCAAACAGTCAACAGAGACTGGTGACCTAACAATACGTAGTGTTACGGGATGATGATGATGATAATGATGATGAGATAGTATAACTACAAAATATTGATGAAACTGGAACATTTATGCGGACTGCAAAAAAAAAAAAAAAAAAAAAAAAACGAAAACAAAAAACAAAAAACATCACATTTATAGGGAAAGAATGAATTTGTTTACGCCCCTACAGATTGTCAGACTTCAACCTGTAGCTTAGTTAGCTAATGAATAAATTCAGCACATTGTAATAAGAAAGAAAGAAATTGAAACATGTTTTGACAGCAGTAAAGAGAGACAGCAGAATACACAAGAAGATCCTTGACAGTCATTTGTCATTGCGCGGAGGAGTGTCGACACATGAACATACTGTTGGAGATATATTTTCTTTATTTACTATACATGTGTGTGTCTATGTAGGTGCGGATGGTGGTAAGTCGCATAAGTCGTAAGTCGAGTGCCGATAGGAGGATGCGGATTTTCTTTCTTCAGATTTAACCTTGACACCAAGATCCACCCAGACTAAAATATCCTGGGTAGAAATGGCAGTCGGCGGGATGTGGACCACACCATCCATCAAAGTAAGGACTCATCAGAAGTATAGGACCCTTTTCCATACCTTCCTGTGTAATGGGCATATAGGGCTAGAATATGTGTTACAGACCAATCAGTACTGGGTGTGTGATGTGGTCCACACCATGTACTGCAGGCTAAAGATACTATATCACTTGTAAACTGTACACTCCAGTTGTTATAGTTGTTCGCCCAACACTGGATTTGATCTTGGTCCTGAGCTTGTGTTCTGCGTGCACAACCGATTTACAGATCTGACTGATTTTGTTATGGAACTATAAAAATAATGAGTCTTGCATCATATGCTTGGTGCGCATTGACAACAAAATGGTCTCCTTCACTGTTTTCACTTTATAATCGGCGGGTAAGGGTGTACTCAGGCACTTAGCACTGAAGCCAATAGTTTTAAGGCTGGCTAGAGTATCTTCGGAAAGGCGAAAAGTGAAATTTAAGTAGCCTGCCAACGACCTGTAGAGCATCCAGGTAAATCCCACCTCCTCGTGGTGCATGCTGGAAAATTGAAACCGCGAGGTCTCAGGCTAACGAGGCAATGGCTCGCCTGCAAGGAGACAGGCACCAACCAGGTCAGATTTGTTCCTGTCTCCCAGGCGACGGACCTAGCAAGCCGGCAGTGGTGTAGTTGATTTCTAGCACACACGAAATATTGAATACTTACTGGGCTAAAACCTGGTATATGAGAGAAGACTTTACAGTCTAATTTCAACCTTCTATTCTAATACAAAAGTGATGTAGTTTCATTGCCATGCAATGCGTGATTTCGACCACATCACCCATCGAGTACTGATTGGTCTATAAACACATAGTAAAAAAGAAAAAAAATTCCCTTTTCCACGCCTTTAGGCTTATAAAGCATATAGGGCTAGATCTTTATCTTTATAGACCAATCGGCACACGATGGGTGATGTGGTCAGCATCAAGCCAGTCGCCTTTACTTCCCAGGACTGCACCCGGTACCCACTCAAGGCTCAGTCGAACTGGGAGTCAAGGTCATTTTTGAAAAAAAAGCCAGGCTCCGCCAGGGAACGAACCCACGACCTTCTGATCTACACGCGAGCATAACATATAGTTCTATCCCTATATGCCCAATGTGCATGAAGGTATGAAACAGGGTCTTGTACTTAACTAATACGCATGGCTGCGACGTCGTCCAGTGCGGAATTTATCCCCATGATCCGGACTAACCATGTCGGGTTTGGCGGTGACGCCCAGGACCGTTTTAATGATAAAGTCTTGCAGTCTCGGGGCTAGCAAGTTCATGAAGTCATTTGAAATCCTCATGATGAAAGGCGGCGCATAACGACTATGTGGGTGTACAGCTGTGACGGCATGCACGTAGCAGTCGATGACTTGTTTGTGATTGCCACTTCCGAAGCGGAGAATGCGCCCCCAAACAGCCTGCATAGAAATATAAAGTAAAGTAAAGGTCCATTTTCACGCCTTTAGTGCATCATCATATGAGAAGAGCATCCCATATCTGTACATACCAATCCTTACTAGGTGGGTAATGTGGTCAGCATTACGCCAGGAAACCATTCTGGTACCTATTTTAGGCTGGGTCGACCTGCGACACCCCATAACATGATAAAAACCCACACAGCCAGCAGTGGGTTTCGATCGTGGTACGTTGGAATTACGAGTCAGACTCACAACGCCTAAGCCACGGACGCCGCTGCATATGGTGATGTATTCATTCTTTTAGTTACAAGAAATGTCATTATTAACGTTTGTTTGTATGTTAAATATAAAACATGTATTTTTTTTTAATAAGGAGAAGCCTGTGAATATTCTGGCGATGATTTTTCTTCTTCTTAGCGTTTCCCGGCTGTAAACTCCAGCAGAACGTTTTAGTTTTTCGCGCTGTGTTATGTCCTGTTGGGGTAAATTACTTACTTACTAAACAAGATCACGTACGAAGAACAGTGGAGTAAAGAAACATTAGTATCACTGTCAAATGAAAAAATGAGGATGACATAGATATGTTTTCATAATGCTCCATGATGCGTTGCCAAGGGTATCTCTCTGGTGGACAGCAGACGGTAAAAGGAGACGTGGGTGACCTAAGGAAACCTAGAGAAGGACAGTAGGAAGTGAATAAAACGAGTTTAAACCGGTATGGAATACCATAGGCAGAAAAGCAGCTGTCCGGCAGCAAAAGGCACCCAGTTTGAGAACCGCTGTGTTAACGCTTCTTTAGCCCGACCCGGTGACGCCAGCAGCACGGTCCGCCAGCTGGAGCCTGTCGTGTCATGGCTGTGACAAAATCCCTAGAACCAAAGCCTGCTTGTTCCGCGATTCAATGAGCATGCTAAAGAAAATCAAGGCGGGGTACATAACCCGAACATTGGCTCCATCTGATTCAGCATTCAGCATTTTGCAAAATCACCATAATTTTTGTCCCATGTTATGCTGATGTGACAGGTAATGAGAGAGCAGACGCTCTGGCTGGCAGTGCGACTATCACTGACCTCCATGGTCAGGAGAGACATCATCAATGTCATACCAGAGACTAAACGCTGTGAGGCTTTCAGTTTCGTGGAAAATGATTTTTCACTCAATAGACTGCATACCTGGGTGTACCAATTGGAGCTGGGAGACAGGAAACCCACGGGGGAGCCACCTGTCGTTACATCAGCCAGAACAGAAAGTGGGTTGTGAGACTAAAAACACTTAGAGACATATTCAGGAGGAGATCGGAGCGCTTATGGTCATGTCCGATGTGCGACGATAATCTCTAACAGGAACTATGAACTATTTCAATTCTGCTAACCTAAAATAACAAGGATGTGTTGCATAATATGGTCTTCACTTTGTAGATTGCAGTTGTGTGTCATATTTTTCTTCTCTCGGCGACATATCCTCTACAGTTGTTCAGTCTTACCTGTGTGTCTCTGAAGTAGCTTTCGCCGTAGTCCCGTTTTATTCCCGGTTCAGCGGCAGCCCAGAAATCCGCATTTCTGGTAGAAACGATGTCTACATCAGAGAGTCCTGTTCTGTTTTTTATATGACACAAATGAATATGAAATGATGACTTTTTTTAAAGAGTGTGAATAGTAATAAAGTTAAAACTTCTTCGCGTTCACCGGCTGTAAACTCCAGCGGAAAGTTTTTGTTGTTCGTCCACTTCTGGACTGCAGTACTGTTCCAGAATTTGAGTGTTGCGTGTGCATCTGTTTGACAGATCTAAATTATTTGTGTGCAGACTGTTGGTTCCTTGACTCTCAGGCTGATGCACTCCGACTTTGAAGGAAGCTCCCAATTAGTCGACTCTTACGACATGCTTTAGGGTAGGCAGTGGGTCTATTCTTGTTTTCCCTATAATAGGGCCCTAGAACCAATACGGGGAGAGGTTAAAACAATACAGGTTCAATACCTATTGGGTCGCTCTGTGGATTCCAGGATTCCGTGTGTGACTAGGTGACGTTCAACCCTACTAGGACCGCACACCGAGCCATAACTTTGGGTAACACAAAGTGCCACCATTCGGATGAGAATCCCTCGGCAAAAGTCACAGAAACCCCGTTCAACCATTAGGTTAAATTAGGACTCAGACAGCAGCCGGGGTGGGGCTTTAAAATAACAACAACAAATAATGCGTCCCATATTGCGGTGGAATTCTTCTTCTTCTTCTTCGTGTTCACCAGCTGTAAACTCTTGCGGAAGGTTCTGGTTGCTCGTCCACTTCTGAACTGCAGTCCTGCTCCAGAACCTGAGTGTTGCGTTTGCATCAGTTTTACAGATCACATTCTTTTGAATACAGACTGTTGGTTCCTTGACTCTCCGGCAGATGCACTCCGACTTCAAAGGAAGCTTCCCAATTAGTCGACTCTTACGACATGCTTTTGGGGAGGCAGTGGGTCTATTCTTGTTTTCCCCACAATGGGACCCCGGAACCACACGGGGGAGATGCGGTGGAATTAAATTCCAAGACATCACTTTATGAAGAGAGGAAAACCGACCCCACAGCGCAATAACAAGCGTCTCATGGTTTGTGGTTTATACAAGCGATCAACATTATAGCACAAGGGTAGTAACCCATAAGCGCTCCGTTCTACTTCTAACTCAAGCCTGATTCCGAAAAATCTCTGGACCGTGCACGAACTCCGTAGTAGCAGCGATGATCCTTAAATATTTGGGGTATATTTTGTAACTCCAAATTTTGACCGGGCAGCACCGTTAGGCTACTCTTTTCGATTTTTTATGTCGACAATACACACTGGCGTCCGATCTTACTACCCAGAGAACAGCGGAAATTAGTATAAGTCCACGTGAAAATAATCCCAGCCTTTACCGGGGCCTGAATCCAGGACCTTCAACACTCGAGGCGGACGCTATGCCTCGAAAAAACTTAGCCCTCTTAACAAGCGTCTTGAAACGCGAGTAGTTAGAGAATTTATTGAGGCCTCAGAGATTTGGTTTTACAGAAGATTGCTTAAAATACCTTGGACAGCCAAAAAGAGCACTTAAACTTTTACATATGTGGGTTGGGGAGAAGGGGGGAGAGGGAGCTCAAGATGCCTCACTACACACACACAAACACACACACAATATTGACCTACTTGTACAGGGATGGTTCCACAGTTACGACCGTGACTCCGAAAACCGACATCTCTCGTCTAAGACTTTCGGAAAACCCGATGACAGCAAACTTTGATGCGGAGTAGGCTGTATAACCAGGCATCGCAGTTCTACCTTAAACAATGGCAAATATTATTACTTAAAAAGATACATAAATACGGTATCTGAATCAGTAAGAAATAGCAAAGAAAGTGCATTAGGAGTACTGGAGTTGTTTATTTGCGTTCACTCTCTGTAAACCGTCGCGGCAAGAATTGGTTGATTTCTTTTCCTTTGTTCCAGGTTTTGAGTTCTGCGTGTGCATATGTTTTACAGATCTTGTTTATTTGTATGCAGACTGTTGCTTCCTTGCCTCTCATGCAGATGCACTCCAACTTTGAAGAAAGCCCCTAAACAGTCGACTCCTATGACATGCTTGTTGGGGAGGCAGTGGGTCTGTTCTTCTTTTCCCTATAATGGGACCCCGGAACCCATACAGGGAAAAACTGGAGTAATAGGAAGACATACAATCAAGAAATTTGAAAATGGCTAAGACTGAAACCAGTCCCAAAGTGCTTTGATGAGAAGTAAGAGTTTGGCCATCTGTTGAGAATGCCCTGGTATTAAGTGACCCAGAGAGCCATGTTGAAGGTAAAAAGTTATGAATAAAGAGATAGGGAAAGACAGAATGACACGAATAACCGTAGAGAAATAAAGATCAATTGATGCCTCGTAGGAGGATAACGCAGAAGGTCTTTGCATACACATACACACACATGCACACAGACACACAATCACAGCCGTGTATGACTTTATGTGACCGGAAGCGAAGGACAAGTTAATTTAGTAGTGAGCAATAGACATCTTACATAATTAACTATTTCGATTACACAAATGTTAGTGTCATTAAAAATATCCAAAAAAACGGGGGGGTGGGGGGGGGGGGGGGGGGGGGGGGGGGGGGGGTGGTGTTAATATCGAATCTGCATTGAGTCTGTTGTTTTCTTTTTCAAAAATTGTCTCACAAGTCGGCGCAGTTTAAAAATTGGTTATAAGGTTTGGTTTTGGAAAGCAAAAGCGATGTTGACTACATTGCCTGCTGAGTGCCGATTGGTCTGTAAAAAATGTGAGTCTAATTACCACCTGGCCACATCAAGCGATATAGTGAATTGGACAGAAAATGAGCAGAGGGTATGGTGCCAGGAAAGAGTGGGCAGGGACCAATCAGCGGAAAGATAGGCGGCGCCGGATACAAGTGACTCCTTGCACATTAAAGTGCACTAGGCAGAAGATCTGGTAATGAGAGTGTTGTTCTGCGAAGGACCTTCTACATGGTGATGATGAAATACCATTACATAAAAATGGTCCTTTACTGTAGTTTGTAATCAGACAGTTGCTGGTACCATCGGAACTGGAATTCTTTGCTTGCTGCCCAAGATAGAGACGGTGCGCTTATGGTAGTATCGAGTGCTATGATGTCAATTTCTAATTCAACATTCATTCAACATGTATATAGCTGTAGAAACCCCCGCCTCTCTTCCGCCTCACAAAGGACCAACTGAACTATGACCATGTTACTAGGCTGTTCTCGATCTTTCCCAGAACGCGTTAGAACTAATGGAGACCGAAATATAATTTAAAGATTGTAGTGAAAACAGAAAGATAATGTTAATTTGCAATGAAAAAAAAAAGTTTTGTTCAAACCTGCCATGCTGGACATATTAATAATCCGTCCTTTGGCTGCTCGAATCAAAGGCAAGAAAGTCCTGGTCACGTTAACCATGCCCATAAAGTTGACGTCCATTAACTTCTTGAACTGAACTTTTGGATACCATTCAAACAAGGCATAGTCGCCGACCCCAGCATTGTTTACAACAGCCCACAGAACTGGGAGACATATTGAAAAACATTATGCTCAAGTGTCACACATTGTATAGTAATATTCTGGCGCTGTTCACGGTAACCGTGACGTTTAAATAAGGTTATGTACTGCGCGCCGTTTTCCTTCATAAATCATTGGACTGCTCTGGGGCATAGGGGTGTGAGCTAATTCCAGATCATTTCGGGGATACCACCGGCGATGTGCTTTGTTGCAAGTGAAGAGGGTGGGAGTAAATTGTTGCAGCCAGCCTGGCAACCTTTCAATATGTCGAGTCGCAGTTCGCTCGACACCTACAAATGTCTTGCGGACTAGACTCGCACACCCCTGTGATCCAGAAGAGTCCAAGAAGCTATAACTGAAAGGTCAACTTCAAGGTTACCGTGACCAGCACCAATATTCTTATATTTACTGCCTGCTTCGGTAGTGTCTTACTGATAGAGATCCCCCCCCCCCTACTCCCCCCCCTTCCCCCCGCGCACACAATGGGGAACTGAAACCCCACATAGGAAAAAGACAAATACGAAACGTAACAATGACGCACCATGTCCTAAAAGCATTTCCGTTATAGTTGACCTTGCGGCCTCGATTTGGGCGTCGTTAGTCACGTCAAGCGGAATGATGGACAATTTGGAGGAAGCCACACTTCGAAGGTTGCTGGCGCCCTCGCTGTGGATGTCCAGGCAGCCTGCAAATATTTTATAGCCCCCTCGGTCAAGTCGCTTGGCCAGCATGTAGCCGAAACCATGATCGCAGCCTGTAAGAAAATGTAGTTTCATTGTAAATTTCATAAAATAACTTTCTTGTGCCGTGCTGTTTTTTCCCCCACACACACACGCACTCACGCGCGCGCAGACACACACAGGCACTCACGCGCGCGCACACTCGCACTCACACCTACACACACTCGCACACACACAAACACACGCACTCACGCGCGCGCAGACACACACAAGCACTTACGCGCGCGCAGACACACTCGCACGCACACCTACACACACTCGCACACACACCACAGATAAAGCATGTGCTCATCGTCAAAGGACGCATAGGTTCTGTTTCTGACCGTTGAGGAAATAGCTGGGCTGATCTAAAATTCCTACACACATGCTCGAAAAGCGGTGATTCAGTTTCTTTCATCTAAATTATGTCGACCAGTGGATATTCATTGGTACAAGAAAATTTGCGTCGAAGACAAGAGTGAGAAGACTGGGCACAGCTGTTTAGAAAAGGATGTGAGTTTGCGAAAGATTCCTAGTCTGCCAAGAATAACCCTTAATCGGTTGGTCAACCGTAGATTACTGAGATTTATTGAAGCAGTCCGCGATAAACTGGTTTAGTCCAGAATTATGCAGACAAAAAGACATGCTCTTCACCTTGTGTTACCTGGTGAAACAGTTTTTGAATGTATTAGACTTTGTGTTTAAGTTTATATGCTTGATTTTAAAATTAATAAATTGTTACTGTAGTATACACCTGACTAGTTACAGTGAAATATGCCTGGCAATAAATTGTGCAATCTATTTTTGTGTGTCTTCTTTGTTCAAACTGACAAAGGGAAAACATGGCTTAGATCAGCAGTTTTCTTCTTATATTGCTGTCCCCTCTCACTCTCCCATCTTCCAATAGAGCATAGGTCTTCAACAACACTTACCAAGTCCTTTGAAGACTTTACATGACTGGTTAGATGCTGAAGGTAATTTCTTCTACAGGATGAGCCAGTTTCAGGTAGCTCACCCTTAGTCCTCTTACGACATGCACGGTAGCTCGCGAGTTCTGGTAGCAAACAGATCATCTTTACTTTACTATCTTCTTCTTGTGCATTCCTAGCCCTTGAGGTACATTGCTGGGGACATCACCCGTCCCGATTAAATCGCTGTAATATGCTTTCTTTTTCCAGTTAGTGATTCCAAGTGTTTGTCAGCTTCATCATCATCATTATTATCATCACCATCATCATCCTCAAGTGTCGTGCCAGCTGGCGTAGGCGTTCATGCATCTGCACAGATCTCGGTCTTTGGTATTCTAGATCAATTCCACTGATGATATTTCTCCATGCCACTGCCTTGTGCCATCCACCATCATTTCTCTAGGTCTGCCTCTACCTCTTCTACTAGTGATCTTTCCAGTCGTCATTCAGTCTGTCTGTACATTGAGACGAAATATTTATGTTTACTTTACTTTGTTATTTTAATTTCTGATTTAAAACCAAAAATCTTCACAAAATGAAGCAGCGATTACCTGTAATGAGTACGGCTTTAAGTACAGGTGTTACGGTCTTGTGGTATCTTGTGTACACAAAGACACCAATAACAACAGCAAGGAGTACGGCCAGTGTGCAGGCACACATAACTAGCAACATTTCCCCTAACTGGTGTGTCCAACGTGCAACAGATCAAAACTTAATGTATGCGTTTGTTGTCAATGACTAAGCTACAACAGATCTTATAAAACAACAAAATATCCTCTGATAAATATGACAAAAATAGAGAGGACCAACTCCTTTGTGTCACGTGATAAAAAAAAACACGGAGTGATATCCCCTTCCCACCCCACCCCCTTTTTCGAGGATTGCAGTCTGTTAGATTAACGTCTCGTGGATGAGAATCAAGCAACTACAAATCCTGAAATTCTCTTTCAGATGCATAGCCATATAGCACAGATTTATAAAACCTGTATAGTCCAATGTAGCGGCGTCCGACTCGTAATTCCAACGTACCGCAATCGAAATCCACTGCTGGCAGCGTAGATTTGTATCATGGTATGGGGCGTTGCAGGTCGACCCAGCCTAAAATGGGTACCATGATTTATGTCCTGGGGAAGTAAAGACGACCGGCGTGATGCTGACCACATTACCCACCTACTGCTGATTGGTCTAAAAATATTGGTGCTCTTCCTATATGCCCGATGTGCCTAAGGCGTGAAAAGGAATCTTTACTTCACTGTGATTTTGCAACAGTATTTTAGATACTACGCATGTAAAAATTTTACCAACCTCTAATAAAGATGTTGATTGTTGTTGGAGTGCTAAACAATTAACTGCAAATGACACTACTATCGTACTGCAATACGTCTATGGTAATAAAGAACATGTAAAAAGATAGTCCTAAAAGAACTTAGGGGAGGGGGAAGATTAAACAGTATATTACAAGAACACTAATTCCTACACATAGAATTACTATTTCAAAGGACAGTGTTAATAATTTGAGTCCTTTATTAGTACGTTGCAAACAGACTCAAAGAATTGAAGGTGGATTGCCCAATAATGTGAAAATCACAATGACTTGATATTATATATATATATATATATATATATATATATATATATATATATATATATATATATATATATATATATAATATAATCGATACATTATGAAATAGCTAAGGAGAAAACTCCCGTATTCCGCTTGTAACCTAGACAGATTTAACAGCTACTGTCTATATTTGCACTACTACTACTACTACTGCTTCTACACATAATATTATAAATACTAACATTACAAAACTACACTCAATATGTCCGTCACAAGGGGCATACATGTTTTCTATGGTGCTTGATGCCATTATTTGAATATGCATTAATACAAAAATACAAAGCGCTCACATAATAATTTCATCATGCAAATGGTCCGGAAAGCTATAAATATCAGAATTACGCCAAGTAAGAAGACTATGATTGGTTACGTTGTGACTCTTATCAAAAAAAAACTTTCTCTTCAGTTACAAATAAAGCTTGCATTTAGAACTCGAGGGTTGTAGGTGGAGTTTTGAACATTGAATTAGAACACTTATGCCATTCTGAACTGATAAAGGCGCTGTGATCCCTAATTGTTCTGCATTATATCTCTCTGTGGCGTTTAGTCTTTCCATTCTTTACTGCAGCATGGGGTTACCCCCTGTTCTCTACATCTTAGCTACTTCAGTATATTCTTCATTTTTTACTTATATATATATATAAACATATATATATATTTATTCCATTTACTTATCGAGCACCCTTTTTTTTTTGCGTTCACCGGCTGTAAACCCTGGCGAAAAGAACTGGTTGTTTGTCCATTTCTGTGCTTCGGTTTTGTTCCAGGACCTAAGTTTTGCGTGTACATCCGTTCTAAAGATCGTGCTTATTTGTATACAGACTGTTAGCTCCTTGTTTCTCAGGCAGATGCACTCCAACTTTGAAGGAAGGCTCCTCCCCAACTAAGTCGATTCTCACGACATGCTTGTTGGGGAGGCAGTGGGTCTATTCTTGTTTTCCCCCACAATGGAATTCTACAACCCACACTGGGATCTTCTTCTTCTCAACGTCCATGTCGTGTGGCGTTGGTTTACATATCTGTCCACAACCTTCTGTCTCGCGTAATCTCAATCAGCTCTGACCCAGATGCTCCTTTATGCCATGATGTCAAACTGTCCAGCATCTTTTCTCTCGGTCTCCCTCTGCCTCTCCTCACCTTCAACTTTCCTACTGTCACAATGTACTCCAGTTTTCTCCTTTTCACCACGTGACCAAAGAATGCGGATTGTCTCTTTTTTAGGCAATCAGTTCTCTTCATGAGTCAGTTTCTTTTAAGACGTCCTCATTACGTATTTTATCTGTCTGGGGCATTCTTATCATTCATCTATAAAACCACATCTCTCCAGCTTTTAAATAGGTTTTCACTAATTTATCAAACGTCCATGATTTACATCCGTGTATCAATATAGGATTTATATAACTTTTAAGACCGGGATATCAGTTAGTAATCTATACCTGCATAGGAACGGCGTGTTACATCGGGCTGATGTGGCATCACCAATGTCCTAATTATAACTTCACTGGAGGTTGAACTGGAATGTCTGAGCTTGCCTTCCTAGTCTGCTACCAGCCCTGAGATTACCGGGATTCCGGGTATTCGGGTAATCCAGCATCTCCCTCCCCCCACCTAATCTCTACTTTTTTTCTTCCGCATCTAGTTAGCTAGTCAATCGACCGTAAATGAATGTCAGTCAACCCTACCAGGATCTCAAAACGAGCGATAATTACACGGTGACACAAAGTGCCGACATTCGGATGAGAATCTCCCGGGTAAAAGCCCCAGAAATCCCAATTCAACCGTTAGGCTATTTTAGGGCCCCTGACTACAGTCGAGTGGGGCTTCAAACTAACCACACAAAAAAAGTGCGTCCCATATTGGGGCGAGGTTGTTTAATCAACAGTTTATCCTCATTTCCACATCGGACCATTCAGTACAAAGTGCTCGGATCACCTCTTCAATAAATCTCGCAGCGTGCAAAGGCTAACGACACAGGTTCTTTGTTGGGTTCTTCCTTTTTTTTTTGTCCTTGTGTAGAGTGCTCCAGCCATACCCCTTTATTCTCCGTCTATGAACGCCAAGCGTAGGATGTCAATTTTTTTTTTTTATTACTATGCATAATTGTATTACAATTCCCACAATTACTGTTTGGCTTTTTCACCCCACTAGGATTCACACTGAACGACAAACACGGTGATACAAAGTGCCACCATTCGGTTCAGGATCACCCGTGAGAGGTCCCAGAAACTCCGTACAACCCTTAGTTTATATTAGGGCCCCCTACAACAGCCAGGGTGGGGCTTCAAAGTAACGCAAAATACGTTCCGAACTGGGACAGACTCTTGCAAAATTACTTCCCTTCCTGTGACCGACATATTTCGGTTTCGTCGACATATTTAGAACACTCCGCTACATTTGCGGATATGAACTTTGAAATGGAAAGATGAAAGTGAATTAGTTTTTTTTTAACTATTTTTGTGCAGAGTTGCTCTCCAAAACGAATTGCAAGCAACACTTTAAGAAGAACAAGTGGTCATCAAGCCGTGCACTATTTAAGATAAAAGCCAGACAGAAAGACGCCATTGATTACAAGCGAAATTTAACATTTATAACGAATGGTAATTATCAATTGGCTAGGGAAGGATTTGGTACTGGTGTGACATTAAAGTTCCACCCCAATATGAGGGTTTTTTTTTTTTGGGGGGGGGGGGGTGGATTTTAAAGCCCCACCACGGCTGTCGTCAGTGACCCCCAAATATAACCTAACGGTTTGAAGGGAGTTTCTGGGACTTGTGCCCGGGGTGATTCACATCCGCATGGTGGCACATTGTGTCACCTGGTGTTTATCGCATGTTGTGCAATCCTGGTGGGGTTGAAATGTATTCCTTCAATGGTAATGGGGTGATTTAAAACCCTGCCTCACCAAGATGTACTATGTAACCATTGAGATATGCGGTGAAAGGGGTTTCTGGGATTGAGATAGGTGGTTGCCCCGCCTAAAAATTAAAGAATAATCCTGTAGACTACAATCCTAGACGGGGCAACCACCTACCTTTGTGGGGCAACCACCTACTTTTGTGGGGCAACCACCTACCTTTGTACTGCGCATGCAGCTCCACTACCCACCCAAACTGAACAGCAGATCACTTCGTAATCGTTGGGTAGCCCAGTATAACTGTGTCAGGTGGTTAAACGCAGTTTCTGTAATTTGTACCTTGTTGTTCTTCTTTGTTCACCGGCGGAAAGTCCTGGTTTGTCGTCCATTTGGACTTTGGCTTCGTTCCAGGGCCTGAGTTTTGCGTGTACATTTTTTAAATTGGTTAATTAGTGTACAGTTTGTTGTTCCTTGCCGCTCTGGCAGATGCACTCCGATTTCCAAAGAAATCCACAGTGGACTCCTACGACACGCTTGTTGGAGAGGCAATGGGTCTATTATTGTTTTTCCACAATAGCACCCTGGCAACCCCACAAGGGAAAGTGCCTGGTTGATTCTCGTTCATGAGAGACTGCATTGTTGGAGGGGGAACATTAAACCACGAAATAGTTTCTCTAAAAATCGGACATACAAAAAAAAAACCAGAACGAGCCATATGGAGTACAACTCGGTGCGATGAAGTCCATCCTCTCGACTTTAAATTAGCTTTCAAGTGCTGACGGGTCTTTAGAAAAATGGGGCTAGCACAATTTGGCAAAGATGCCACAGGATGTGGATATAGTGAATGAATGAAGCTGAACCACGCTGAGCAAATAGGGGGCCGCGTTAGCACAGTCGATAGGAGACTCGCTCTCATATGCAGCTGTGACTCGCTGCAGCCCACGACCGGTGTTCGAAATCGGGCGGTTTCAGGGGGTTCATTCAGCCTATAGGCAATGGGTATCAGAGTTAACACTCTGGGGTAAATGGAGGAACGTCGCTGTAGCCACGGAGTTGCGTGCGGACGGCGACACAGTTTCGTATCAGCTTTCCGTACTGATGGTAGAGCATTTATGGTTTATAACCATGTGCAATAACGCTGTTTCACATCTCCCGACTTAACTTTTACTTTGCTGAGCAAATAACACATGG